GTAAATAACATCTTTGCAGCCGGCTGCAGCCGTTGGCTGGAAGGTGTAGTCTCTCATCCGGTGCATTAGCAAGAGTCTTTTGGCCACACACCAAGCCCAGAATTCTTCGATATGAAATTAAATGGTTACATAATGGCTTTGTGTTTTTCATTTTTCTACAAGGCCGGCATCCTGTGTTTATGCAAAGGTGCAGATGAGCAAATACAAAAGAAAACCTCTGTGGGACTCGGCCATAATTGAAAAGGTGCTAAATGAGAGAGACGGAACCTGTAAGGACACGGCTATAAATTGACATGCATTAAATAGGAATTAATGACTGTTGTGTCAAATGTTATCAGTAATCCTGAAAAAGGCGGAGGGGAAAAATTAAAAAGCATGGTGAAGACACGATAAACCTGTGCCGCCAGCATGCACACACACACACACACACACACAGACACACACACACACACACAAAACATGCTTCAGAGCCTTTATAGAAACAGCTGGATCACGCTCACCGCTGGAACAGCCTGATCAAACCTAACCGTCACTCTGCCATGAAATCAGAACCAATTTTAAAATGTATTTTTTCTTTAAGTTGCATGGAGCCCCCCCCTTTCTGCTCTATGAAAACAATTCAGTGTGTTGCAGGTGAGAGTATCCCTCCCAAGCTGAAACACTGAAAGACGGTTTGGTTTGGAGCTCCTCGTGGAAGATTAGTAACAGTCTCTCACACACACAAACACACACACACACACACACACACACACAGTCCCTCACACTCTTGTTAAGCTGGCAGGGAGGTGTAACTCGTCCCTGACTGGCCTGCTGGAGCACTCAGGTGAAAAATGACCTGCACTGGGTGTTTATACGCTCATATGCATGAGGCTTCAGTTGATGCCCCTGTGGGTTGGCAAAGGTTTTCAAATGAAACAAAACAAAAAGCGCGCGCTTTTGGTTTTTAGTCATGTTGGGAGGAAAGCAAAAGCTCATTCATGAACACAAAATGCTGTCCTTAACGGGCAACAACAGCACGTTTGTGGCCAGCGTGCATGAAAATGTTCTGGGCTGGGATCAGCTTGGAGCTCAACCGCTCATACTGTTCTCCTCAAACAACAGTTTTACCCCCCCCCCCCCCACACACACACACACACACACACACAAAAAAAGGGAAATCAAATTTGAATGTGAATATGGGTTCCTTTTCAGTCCATGATTCATCATAAAATGTGATAATCACAAATATTCCATTCCTGTCCTTAATATGAGAGGAGATTTTGTCCAATATCTGGCACAGTATGGCAGCTAAACCTTTACATGGACGGCCATTTTACATGAATTTTGTCAATGCAGGTTTTAAAGGAGGTGCTCATTTTAAACGACGGGACAAAAATTAGGAGAGGTCATATCTATCAAACAAGTACGGTAATACACAAGGTTTGAAGAACACCACAGTTTTTAGGTGTCGTGCAATTGTTCCGTTTAGGTCATGACAAGCATTAAATAAAGAATTGGTGACAACAATTCTGGCAAACATCTGCTTTGTAATCCACAGTAACTGAGCGTATTGTTTTCAGATGTTTCAGATTGTGAATGGTTGGAGCCACAGTTAGCATAACCGATAGCTCCATTAGTCCTGATTGTTAGCATCGTTTGTAGACAAACACTAACCCACCTCTCCACCATCTACATGGTACCTGCCTTTTCCAAATTATTCTACAAAATACATAACACATGAGTGACTAAAAAGTAAAACACAGATTGATACATTCAGTGCCTGTGCAGGATTAATCTCCAAACAGACAACCTCACTTGCTAAAAAAAAACAACTATTATTTACCCACCAATTACAAAATAGTTTATCCTTTTGCCTTTCGTGGCTACAATACGTCCATTAATCACATTTTCTTCTCAGCAAGTGTTGTTGTTGAGCCATTTTAGCTACAACTAAACAGATACATAAAATAAAAAAATGTGTGACTATCAGGCTTCAAAATGGTGTTTGGATGGATCGTTTCCCAGTTAGTTGAGAACGTTCAAACAACTTACCTGTGTCTCTTCCTCTGCAGGGTGTTCAGGCTAAAAGATTCCCCAGGGATTGAACACCTTTTTTTTTTTTTTTTTTTTTTTTTGCAAAGTGAAGGGGGGAATGAAAGTGATGACTTTACAGTTTGGTGTAGAAAATGCATTTTAGATATTAGTGATAGCTAATGTTTGATATGTTTCGACATGCTAATTGCTAATTGCAGACGTTTGTTGGTATATATTTATATGTGTGTATGTGTGTGTGGACATAAACACATCTATGGTTGTTTCCCCTGTTGATAGTATGTCTTAATTGAAGTGGAAAGTCGCCTATGAAAAGGATGTTGGTTCACATCTCTCCAGAGAGACGCTGATGGGATTCCATGTTACCTGTGAGACAGGGCTTCTTTTCCTAACTGGTTCGATTTTGATGGTGAATAAAAACCCGGTGGGTCCACACCTTTTCTCTTCCTCACTCCTGATTTATCCAGCCGCCAAGGTGATAGATGACACCACATGGATCTATATCTCTAGTTTTCTGTCTTTAAACAGATATAAGAACTTGCTCAAACTTGGTGTGATGATCATTATCATAATAACTAGTCTGTATTGGAAAACATGTGTTAAAAAAACGTTTGCACCATTTACCATTCTGGCCCAAACAGTTATTTTTAATTGGAGAAGAGCTTTCTTGATTTACGTACCAAGTTAAGTCTAAGCAGAAATTAGAGTTTTCTACGCATTGTTTATTGATAATACAGACTTTTCCTCTCTCCCTGAAAAAAAATCATTCAGACACTTTCGATGTAGACAAAGGGATTTTGGAAAAAAGTGAAATACGATATGATAACGGTGATATGGTATTTTATCAAAGTTTTTTGTTGGTCCCTGCTACTAAGTCGCTTTGTATAGTGTTACCATCTGACTTTCCATCATTTTTTTAAAGCGACCACACGTTAGACAACAAAGAAGCAAATCCTTTTAGAATTCAAGAACTCCAAACTTTATTTAGATAAATAATTGCACCCCACTTTTTTTTTCTTTTTTGCTTAAAATGACAGCCTTAACGTGTGAAAGTTAGACCTTGTTACTGCTGTAGTTCAGTTATCTGCTTCCCTTCTGATTCCTGCTGCTTTTACCCACTGAAGAATGTCAAAGTGGCACTTGGAGTCATTTTTACCTTTTACATGTTACATGCAGAGCAGTGATTGCTTTTTCTTTTTCAATCTCTACAACTCTAGCCCCTGCATCCATATTCATTGAGCTCTTTCAGGTTCTCAAACAAATCTCCATCTCCAGATGCGCTGTTGTTTTGGCTCATCCATTTTCTCGTCTCCCACCCTTGTCTTCCGGTGCCTAATCCCTCTTTCCTCTGACAGTGGGGGGCTGCCCTTTCCTTTTCTTTGCATCCAGTCGGGGAATGCTAATGGCCTAAGAGCTGAGGCAATTAGCAAACAGCAAACGGCAAGCAGACAAGTGCCCGCAGACCCTGAACGCACCACGCGCCATCGAGTGAGATGGAACACAGAAACGCCTACGACACAAAGAGCTGCATGCATGATGTCGATTTTTGTTTGGGCAAACCTTACAGTGCAGACCGAGAAAGCAAACGTTCTCAATTGGAAAGAGTAAAAATCATTGGTGGATCAGGGATTTCTTTTTCTTCGGTTTGTTTCTGCGGTTCCAAATTTCTGTCAAATCTCTACAAAAGCAGCCCTAGAGAAGATAAGCCACAAATCTTTTTTCAAGCCCACCATAATCTTTCTAAGAAAACGTATATGAACAGGATGAAGTGGCTCATTCATTAAACTGCAGTCTGCAACGTTCTCGTTCGAGATGTGCCGATTGGATTGTGAGCTAGTCGTGCAGTGAGAGATAAAGAGAAGCCACCAAGGCCTCGGTGTGCTTATCGTGGAAGAAAATGTACCGCGGCATTACTGTTCTTGCTAAAAGCATCAACATAATAGATTTTCTTTTTTAGCTCACAATAAAGCTGTACGTCTTGAATTCCTGGGCCCGGCTGTAGCTCCCCATCCCCCGATCGAACGTAAGAGATTCTTCCTCAATTTCAACTTCCCCCGCGAATGGAACTGCAGACATTCTTCACCTGATTGCAGATTATTCGGCTGAAATGGGGCCCGACCCCAGCGAGCGGCTCAATCACGACTACTCTGAGGGCCCTGAATGTCTCTCAGTATTCCCGTAATGGTCTGAGCCTGGCCAGTTTAACATTTTGAAACCAGGTTCGCATTGAACAGCCGTAGATGTGACCGACCCATCGCAATCGGGCAAAATGAGACTGGAGATTGCTCCGATTTTTTGGTCTCCTGGTCTGAAAAGGGTCATTTGAGTTATAAAGATGAGATAAAAGTTGTTTAAGATTCTTTAAAAAAAAAATTAAAAAAAACTTTTACAGTATGTGGATACGTGTCGATACCAATTTGAATAATCATATGAAACGCAAATAAATTGTACTGTAAATTAGGAATGCAACCTTGCCTGCTCAGCCTTTTTTTCATGACTGTACACTGCTGACAGAAGAGAAGTCCGTTTCCAGCCCCGTACTGATCAATACCTCGTATCCAATTTGGCAGCGCGGGTTTGGATGCTTATCTGGCGAGCCAAATGGACCCAATCTGCAGCAGGGACGCTTTAATCAGGCTGAGTTATTGGGGTCTGTGGCTCCGAGCGCACTCCTGGGAACAAACGCACCCCTCAGATCTACACGCTCACACGCACAATCCAGCCAATCAATCACTTTAATTCATCTAGCGAACAACAGGGGGAAAAAAAAAAAATCCTCTTTTTGTAATTCACATTCAAAAGCAGATTTCTGCACTATGGATATAAAACCCGCAAAAACGTCAAGACCCCAGAAGAATTTAGTTTAAAATTTTTCAGAAGCTCAAGTCATAAATCAATTACTCGGGTACCTAAAAAGCAGAAATCCTCCAGACAAACTTTCCCCGAGTAGGATCCACCCAGGTACAAAATGACTTTCCCTTGGGTTGGACCAGTTCTTAGAAAGTCTCAGGTCTTTATTTTTTCCCCTTTCGTCATAGCAGTGAGCTTATCTGCTCCAATCACTGAAGAGTCAGAGAATAACACCAGCAATAAACCAACCATAGAACAGTTTTCACAGAAAAGAAACAAAATATAGTCTTGTTTCAAGCCAGTGACAAAATTCAGTCACTCATTGGATTGGAACAGTATCAATCCACCACTCAGAAAAAAAAGGGGAGAAAAAAAAGTCCAACCAAAACTGATTTAATATTTACTGTCCTTGAATTAAATTCAAAGAAAACTTTAGAGGTGAATTCACTTCTCCAAAAGTAAATGTTTTAGTCCCTTAGCAATGTGCCTGCCCCTTCATTCTAATAATACAAGCACACCAGATAAAGTGCTTCAGTTGTATTCATCCCAAAATCTAACAAGAAAAAATAGTCAACTGATTTTCGGTCAATTAAAGCAGCGATTTTCACTGCAAAGAATGACTAAAGTCCAACCTGAAAGCACCAGATGGCTTCTGCTGTGTATAAAAATAAATAAATAAATTTTAAAAAAAATTTAGGTGCAAAAAGGCTCAACACTGCCCTCTCATGGCAACGCTGCACAACTGCATCCAGCAGTTATCCGATCGAAGACAAATTCCACAGGCCTTTAACCAAAATACAATCTATTTTCCCAAAGAGTGAATTGAAAACCCATTTTCAATCAAATATATACACATATATATATAAAAAGTAAAAAAAACAACAACACTTTATTTTAAGAGTACACATGACAGCCATTTAAAAGCAGCACAGCTTCATCTGCTCTTTTGTACAAATAATTACTGATATTAACATGATAAAGACTGTACAACTTCAGAAAATACATGCATAGATGCCAACGTCAACATTGTAGGAAAGCTTTATAAAAACATGTGGCGCACTGCATAATTCACCGGTAAAAGTTACCAACCTCTCTTTAATATAAACATTAAACTCTGCATGAACTAAGATTTTTCTGCCCTTTAAAAAAGACAAAAAAAACTAAAAGAAATGCCAAACAAGGTTTAAACCAATGCCAACCTAAAATAAGCTTTTAACTTGTTGATAAATGCCCACGTTAAAAGAACTTTGTCCAACTGGGGTTATGTTTTTTTTTTATTTCCAATTTTTTTCTCCATGGAAGATGGACTAACCAACACATATAAATATTAAAACATATTTACAGGTAAATTATGTACAGTTTGTTGTCACCCTGCTTCGGTTTGGACCTTTTTACGGCTTAGGGGATGGTTAACGCTTTCTCCAAAGCATCCATCTCAACCAGTGGCAGAGACGCCACTTCAAAAAACACCCTGGAAAAAAGAAAAGTCAGAGTTTCACTACATTTTTAAGTTAATTAAAAAATTCTGGGTTTAACCTAAAAGGATAAAGAGTTAAGCATTCTTTCATCTTCGCAATAAGGCTAAAATTAGAAACATCCCATCTCAGAGCGAGCCAGAGCAGCTAGGAACGCATTAAACCAAGGTTGTTCTTTATTATTATTATCGGGATGTTCCAAAAACAATTTCCAACGTTGTCATGCAAAGGAGAAGGAAAGATGGCATTTCTCCAGTTTTAGCTTCTATTATTGGTTCTATGGGTCCTAACTGGCTGCATCTGTGAAGTGCTGAGAGGTCGCATTCATTTGGATTTGGCGCTTTGTGCGAATTTCATCTGACTTACTTGTGAGAGTATTTGTTCCTGATGGCTCTCATTTTGTCGTCGGCGGGGGATAAGAACATCAGGTAGAGCCGTCGGACCACGGGCGCCAGGTCTGACGTCCGATAGCCCGAGTGGAACTGGAGGATGGGGGTCTGCGGGACGAGAGAGGGTTAGGGCTAATACGACTGGATATCCACCCCAGACATTTTCTCCGAGGATGACCCCCAAAGACGAAGAAGACCCCTGACGAGGGTTGTCACGATACTAAAATTTTCAACTCGATACCGATACTCGGGAAAATACTCGATGCTCGATACCATTTTCGATACCACAAGGATAAAAACAAAGACCCCAAAATTTAACTGAATTGTGTCTTTCATTCCAAACTGACCTGTTACTGATGTTAACGTGACTGGTGGCCCACATTAATGACCCTAACCCTAACCCCTCCAGCCTTCATAATTGAGAAATAAATATTTTTGGGGTAAACTTGTTTGGACTTATTGTACAAACCTATTTAATATACACTATTTTATACATTTTTCAATTAATGTCTATATTGCCACGAAGCAATTACGATTTTCTTGCCTGGGATCTTCCTATTGGTGACCTAATCAAAATGGCCGACTTGGATGTGGGCGGAGTTGGATATGTACTTGACTAATGGTAGCGTGTTATTAGTAGCCATTAGCCGCAGCTAGCAAGGCTAACGTCTTGTTAATGATCATAAACAACACACGGGCTTGCGCGGTGGTATCGATACTTTTGAAAATGAGTATCGTATCCGGATACAACATTTCGGTATCGATACTTTTGACAACCCTACCCCCGACAGAGCCAAGACTACTGCCGCTGTGAAAAACCCACCCAGCCTCCCAGGTCTTTGGAGACCAGCGCCATCAGCAGGCAGGCCGACGCCAGCAGGGAGCCGCGCTCCGACACCAGGTCCATCTCCATCAGACTCATCTCGCAGAAGTAGCGGGCCAGAGTCAGCGTGTCCATGCCGGCGCTCACACACTGCGGGGGGGGGGGAACAAAATTTAGAGCTGGGCGCCCAGAGGGTGTCTTCTAGGGTTGTCACGATACTAAAATTTTCCACTGGATACCGATACTCAGGAAAATACACGATACTCGATACCATTTTCGATACCACAAGGATAAAAACAAAGAGCCTAAAATTTGACTGAACTGTGTCTTTCATTTCAAACTGACCTGTTACTGATGTTATCGTGACTGGTGGCCCGCATTAATGACCCTAACCCTAACCCTATCCCTCCAGCCTTCGTAATAGTGAGAAATAAATATTTTTTGGTTAAACTTGTTTGGACTTATTGTACAAACCTATTTAACATCCGCTATTTTAACATAATATTACGGATAGAGTTTAATTCAGTGTTTGCTAGATTACTTTCACTATTTTTACATTAATGTCTATATTGCCATGAAGCAATTAGGATTTTCTTGCCTGGGATCTTCCTATTGGTGACCTAATCAAAACGTCCGATTTGGATGTGGGCGGAGTTAGATATGTACTTGATTAAGGGTAGCATGTTATTATTAGCCATTAGCCGCAGCTAGCAAGGCTAACGTCTTAATGATCATAAACAATGTAAATAAATCTATAAATAAATTCAGAGAGAAGGGGCGCTGCGCCGGTGGTATTGATACTTTTGAAAATGAGTATCGTATCCGGATGCAACATTTTAGTATCGATACTTTTTCCGAGTATCGATGCTTTTGACAACCCTAGTGTCTTCCCCTCGCACACCTTGGCGTAGCGTCTGAGGAACCGGTAGGGGATGGGGATGTTGATGTCGAAGGACAGCGCCTGCAGGATGCTGGCCTCCATGGCGATGAGCTCCTCCCGTCTGTAGGCGTCGTCGCAGATGTACAGGAAGTCCTCCACGCACGGCGGGCTGCGCTCCTGCGGGGCGCGTTCACACGTCACTTCAAAGCAGCCCCCCCAACGGCCCCCCTCGATCTGAGCCTCCGCTAAGTCGCGAGGAGCGAGCGGTCACCTCGAATTTGGAGGCGATGAGCATGGCGGTGGAGCCCACCAGCTGCAGCATCTCCTTGTGCACCGGGGTCTTGGACAGGTAGTGGTCCGTCATCTTGACCGCCAGGTACAGCGTCTCGTGGTACAGCTCAAAGTTTTCCTGTGCAAACGGGGGAGGGGGCAAACATTGATTTCGGTGAACAAAATCTTAATATAGGCGCTACGACCAAGTCGCATACAGTGTGTGAAACATGTTAAAGGTTAGGTCAGGTGACATCTGCTTAAAAAAATGTCAAAAACTTCTGCACCTAATGCAGCCGTCACGTTTAATTGCTCAAGCAATACATTTTTTCGCATTCATTTTTAATTAGATTTTCTTGCAAAGCCTTTCTCATGTTTTATTCTATAAAAAAAATGAACATATAAGTTCAATTAATTTAAAATACAAGCATCTTCATAACTTTTTATGATTTTTTTTTATTTCCAGAATGCATTCTGCAGCAACTGGCAGCAGTAAAGCTGCCGAAAGCCGCTTTAATTCTATATACTTTATGGTATAATATAGTTTTATGCCATCAAGTACCCATTTAGATCCTTAATATACGTTTAGGCTATCCAAATGACGCCCGTTTGTACATTTTGTTTGGACGTTTTCTGAGGAGACAGCAGCTGATCAGCGATGGAGAACTTGAATCTGTGCGGGATAGCGAGGTGGGATCTGTGGGCTTTAAGTCAGACCACAAAAAAAGAGCCGAGAAGACCCAACGAGAGGGACCTCCCACCGGCAGAACTCACCTGTACCTCCACCAGCCAGTCCACCAGGATGGCCCTCATCTCAGTGTTCAGACTGGGCTGCTTGGACATGTAGTTTTCAAGTACGAATTTCTCCTGCAGATAGTAAAAGAGATGACCTCATATATCAAGTACAAGTCTCTGAGGCGGCCTTTTCGGACGTTGTAAAAAATGCTAAGTGTGGTAGAAACTAGGGTTGTCAAAAGTATCGATACTCAAAAAAGTATCGATACTAAAATGTTGTATCCGGATACGATACTCATTTTCAAAAGTATCGATACCACCCCCCTTTTCTCTGATTTATTCATTTATTTACGTTGTTTATGATCATTAACAAGACGTTAGCCTTGAATTGCTAGCTGCGGCTAATGGCTAATAATAACGCGCCAAGATTAATCAAGTACATATCCGACTCCGCCCACATCGAAGTCGGCCATTTTGATTAGGTCACCAATAGGAAGATTCCAGGCAAGAAAATCCTAATTGCTTCATGGCAATATAGAGATTCATTTAAAAATGGTGAAATTAATCTTTCAAACACTTAATTAAACTCTATACATATAATTATGTTAAAACAGTGGATGTTAAATAGGTTTTTACAATAAGTCCAAACAATTTTTACCCAAAAATATTTATTTCTCACAATTATGAAGGGTGGAGGGTCAGGGTTAGGGTTAGGGTCATTAATGTGGGCCACCAGTCACCATAACATCAGTAACAGGTCAGTTTAAAATGACACTAACCTGTCAAAATTCAGTTAAATTTTGGGGTCTTTTTTTTATCCTTGTGGTATCAAAAATGGTATCGAGTATTTTCCTGAGTATCGGTATCGAGTTGAAAATGTTAGTATCGTGACAACCCTAGTAGAAACACCTCGGTGAGACTCACCTCTCTCTGCTTAAGGTAGTCGAAGATGTCTTTTGCGTACTCGGGACACATGTAGGGGTCCTCGGAGTTCTCAGAGTCTATGTCAAACTCCTTCGGGATCTATAAAGACGGAAAGACGTGAGGAAACGCAAATTGGACTTGGATTCCTGGCCACACTCCTTTCCCTCCCGACTCACATTTTGTCTCTGAAGGTGCGATGGCACCGTTCGGGCAGCAGGGGGCGGAGCCTCCACAAGTTCTTCCCCCGGTGCTGCCACATCTCCCAGCGGATTCTCCTCCTTCCCCTCTTCCTCCTCCGAGTCGGTCTTTTCCTTCTCAGTTGCCGTTCCCTCAGAGCTGACGGAGGATGACCTGCAGAGGGGCGAGAGGATGAGAAATTTAATTCTTATGCCACTAGGAGGAGAGGCACAGACTGAGGTAATCCGACCTAAAAATGACTTAAGGGTGAGAAAAGGCATACTTTTTCAAGTTGGCTTGGTTCTTTGCAGACACCAAGGCAGGATTGGTTTTTCTCAGAGCCTTCTTTCCACCTTCTTTCTTCTTCCCTGGAAGGCTGAGCTGAACCTTGTGAGCCTGGGAATGCATAGATGGGATATAAAGTTTAAAACGACACGAGGTCTGATATGGCACAGGGAACCAACTCAACTGATCAGTAAAGATTCCCTCAAACATCTTCACAATTAAACTTGTTTTTTTTTCTCAAAAGAAGAATCAACACACCTGACATATTTCTTTGAGCAGTTATCCAAAAATAAATAAATAAATAAATCCCAATTTGGGGCAATTGCCAGCAGTAAGGCTTAAATATTTAGTTCATAGCTTTCCCACCCTCAATGAGGCTAATGTATCATAGCACTGCAGAGAGAAAAATACAAAAAGGAAACTTTGTCTCTGGCTGTGTGCCATTTTGTGAAAAATATCCTAGCTGAGAAGTCACAACCAGCCAAAGTCCAGGAGCATCACCAACACCTGCCATGTTTTTCTCCTGGAGACCATTACAACCAAACCTTAGAGCTTGTGATGGTTAGAGCAGACCAGAGAAAAAGTTCAGAAAAGGAGAATGGTGTAAACCCTGGTATCGGCAAGTTCAACTAAATCCAGTCTATGGAAGAAATAAATCTACATTTTAAAAATGAAACGTTTTAGGCATTGCAACAATCTAGTAAAGCGTTACATGACCATGGGTTTACGGGCTCAACAACAGGTTGATTTTCTAATAACTCACCTGGCAAATTTGAACTTTGTGACAAAATATATGAAAAAAATAAAATAACCATATGAGCTCAGGTTTATTGGGAATTTAGCTGTCGACATTTAATCAGAAGTAACAAAAATGCAGAGAAATTCCTCTGACTTTGAATGAAGAAATGCAGAAATCGACAAATAAAATACAAAAGGTTCGATCCACCTTTCATAGAGAACCTTTTTACATAGGCTGCCTCAGCCATTCCAAGTGTTTCTACTTTTTTCCTGATATAACTGTGAGGCTTTGAAGTCAATACTGAGTAAGAAATAAATCAAATAAATTTTTAAAAAGGTCAAAGACGTGTACAGCTCTAACTTCAGAACCAGAAAAATCCATAAGACTTACATTGGTGATGTCAATAAAAGCTGTCCTCTTCTTTGGGGCTCCATGAGGAGGGGAGGAGGACCTCTTCACCTGGAGGCCTTCCTCCTAAGAGGAACACACACACACACACACACACACACACACACATGAAACAACAATAGAATAAATACATGAACAGGGTCTAACCACAAACAGGTACTGGTCATTTGAGGGGGAAAACGCATTGCATGGCTCTAATACCACCCAGTTCATGCCCTGCGTGGAACGTGGACGTGGTGTGGTGTTGTGATTTAAGAGGGAAACGCAACACAACGAAAAAGCACGTCATCTCGTTCGTTTTTTTTTTTTTTTTGCATTTTTATTTTTACCTGATTTTCAGACCCTTGCTGGTTCAGCTTGGGGATCCTGCTCACAGCAGCAGCGGCCGTGGATTTCTTCCCTCTTGTGAACGGCATCCCTGACTCCTTCCTGTAAACAAACACACGCGTATATGAGACAAATGTCTTAAAAAAATAAAAAATAAATAAAACGACATATTTGGCAGAGTCGTTCAAAAGAAGCCCAACGCTGCCCGCACGTTTTATCCCAGACCCGGGTGGGGGTTAACTCACGTCAACGACGTCCGTGCTCAAAAAGCAGCTCGAAGTGAATGTTTTTCCCCGTCCTAATGCGAGTTGTCGTCTTGGGGAAAATCCAGTTTACGGTTAAAAGAGGCTAAAATGCGCTTTTAGCGGCGGTACATGTCCCAGGTTGGCTAATTGGCTTCTTTAGCAGAGCGCAGACAAAAGTCTTTCAGCTGAAAATCTAAATCTCCGGCGCCTGGCTCCTATTGGCTACAATTCGACCAAGATAGACCAATCAGAGAGTCGCTAAGGATGCAGCTTCCAAGGGAGCGCTTGTTTTATCGTAATTACTCCGCCCGCTAGCAAAACGTCAAAAATAATAAGTACACGAAGAGGACCCGCTGTCGACAATTGATAATATTTTTTAGAAAAAACGTACTTATACTTTTAGTATGTCATGTAAAAATCAGTTAACTACACGTCCAAAATTATTTCATGTACAAGATATATCTACGCGCGTTCCAATATTTGGAGAAATCCATCAACCCCTCGAAAGGGAGGAGCATTTCAGAATTTCAAACCTACCAACCAACCAATAGAAATGTAAGCACTGAGAGACGCTTTATGCACCACCCAAACATGCTTCACTTTTAGAAACGTCATGAGGAAAATGAACAATTGTATCCATCTGTCAACATAAACATGTCGCCCAAGGCGTTTGCCGAAATATATTTTAAAACACATATAATTTCACCAGCAACAAATGATGCGCATTTATTGGCAACCTGTGTTGTTTTTAATTAATTTATTTGTATTGTGGCTCAGTATTTCAGAATTGGCAATGTAAAAAAAAATGTAATGCCCCCAAAATGTTAATTTTATGAGCTGACTTTTCTGGTCCTCTCCGTCTGATATGGGCATTTCTGAAAGAAATACTGAAAAAAACATACATACATACATACATACATACATACATACATACATACATACA